CTTGCATATGCAAGGAACTTGGGTTCTAGTTCCAAATCCAGGTCACAAGAACATAGTAGGCAGCAAATGGATCTATAAGATCAAAAAGAATTCTGATGGCTCGATTGCTAGACACAAGGCTTGACTAGTAGCACAAGGCTTTAGTCAAGAGCCAGGATGCGATTTTGGAGATACTTTTAGTCTAGTGGTGACATAGACTACTGTGCGACTTATTCTCAATATCGATGCCATGAATAAATGGAAGTTAAGATAGTTGGATGTTAAAAATGCATTTTTACATGGAGATCTAGAAGAGGAAGTTTACATGCCTCAACCACAAGGTTTCAAAGATTCTGTTCACCCTGAGAGTGTATGCAAACTTTAGAAATCTCTATATGGCTTGAAACATGCTCCAAGCCAAATTCACAGGTTACTTACCAGCTATAGGCTTTCAATCCTCCCATTCATATCCAAGTTTATTTGTTAAACATGATGGCAGAAATATTGTCGTGCTCTTGTTATATGTAGATGATATTATCCTCACAGGATCCAATGATGAGATGGTTCAACATGTGATTAATGATATGAGTTCAGTGTTTGAAATGAAAGACATAAGTAGGCTAACCTACTTCTTAAGATTACAGGTCTAATACAACAGAACAGGAGATATTTTTGTAAACCAAGTCAAGTATGCTAAAGAATTGTCGAGCATAGCTGGTATGAGCACTTGCAGAGCTTGTCCCACTCCTTGTAAGCCTCATAATCAGGTTTCAAAGACAAATGGTGAACCTTTATCTGATCCTACTGTGTATAAAAGCATTGTAGATGTATTATAGTATTTGACTTTTACCAATATAGACTTATCATATGCAGTGAATTTCGTTTGTCAGTATATGACTACACCAACTTATGCTCATTTTCATCTAGTCAAAAGAATACTCAAATGGTTCAAGGAACTTTGGATTATGGAATCAGTTTTACTGGTGGTTCTTGGGATTTAACTGCCTATATTGATGAAGACTGGGCAAGAGACATCAATAAGAAATCCAGTTTCATGGCAATCTAAGAAACAAAGTTTTGTATCTAGAAGCTCAACAGAGGCTGAGTATAGGGCTCTTGCAAATACTTCAACAAAGTTGGCTTGGATTAGACATGTATTGCAGGATTTGAGGATATACTTGCCCTAACCTCCACTCATCAACTGTGATAATTTGTCAATCTTAGCACTAAGTTCGAATCCATTATATCACTCCAGAATCAAACACCTTGATATAGACTTTCACTTTGTTCATGAAAAGGTGCAAAAGACGGATTTAGTTGTTCAATACATTCCTACAGAAGAGCAGCTTGCAAACATATTTACTAAAGGACTTCACAATCTTATCTTTGTGCAACATTGTCGAAATCTGAGGCTTGGTAACCCATCTAAGTCAGAGGAATCAGGTTAGGTTTGAGGGGGAATGTTAAATGTAAAGACTAAGTTAGTTAGTTAATGAATCATGTGTAAGGCACGTGCTCTTTGTTGAGTCGGTTAGCAGTGTGTTAGCTGCTATAAGATATTCAATTCATTGTAACAATATAGATTAACATAAATGAAATCAAAAACATTCTCTCAGATATTCTTCTTATAGATTCTTCTTCTTCTTCTTCATCTCTGCCTTTTCTTCTATTCTTCTTCCACTGTTATCACATTTCTTCAATTTTCTAACTCTAGCATCGACATTCTTCTTAGTCTTGAATGGGCAATTGAAGTAGATGATGGAGACATCAGATAAGGTAACGACAGCGACGATGACGAGGAGCGAATACGGGTGGAGATAGGCTTTGATGAGGAACTTCGAGGAATGAGAGTGATGGTCACCGACGAGGCTTTTGCGTTTTCTAAGAGAGCGAAGAGTTGTTGAAGACTATGGCCGCCACAGCCAAGGAAGTGTCTGCGAATTGATGGGACCGACCATGCCTATTAGAACCAAAACCCTCACTCAAGCAGCCAACACCCCTAATTGTATAGATCCGATCATATCCACTCCTTCCGCACCCCGCTCGTGGTTCAATTTGGGAGGGCAAGGCTTGTTAGCCTCAAGCATCGCCCATGGCTTCCTCATTGCCTCTCCATCCGATGACTAAATCGGCTGAAAAAATAATTGAGAATTTTGATTTCGACAAGCATGATAGTTCAGGGTGGTATTTGACAAAAAAAAACAAAACAAAACAAAAACAAAATGAATGGCTAGGGTTCAACCCAACTACTTTTATTTTACTTTTTTATTTATTTATTTATTTTATTCATTTATTTGGTCGGATTCCTAATGGCTTTAGGAAACCAAATCCTACTACGAGTAGGAAAAACTTGCTTTGGAAGTAAGCGAAAGAAACAACCCACGTCTCGCATGACTCGCATTGAATTTTCAAATTTACCAAACCACCCTCCCATCTTTCGACGAAATACCTATAATACCCCTGTAAACGGTTCGCATAACGGTCATTTGTCGGGCGAGATTCGTAATCTGTACAGGGGCAATTGTGAAACTCAATCCTATCTCCTCGAGGCCACGAAAAGTTTCCACCGCCAGAGATCTATAAATACAAACTGCGGCACGGCAACTCTGCCTCCTTATATCATCAAAACCGCCTCTCAAAGGAATTTGAAATCCAAAAGCATCGCAGAGTTCTCTCTCTATAAATATCTACTGGACAAATATCCTCAGATCTTGATCTTGAACCCTTTCTTGCTTCAGAAATCTGCACCTTCGTTTGTTCGTAGTTTCGGTGTACAGAGTTATTGTAATATCAATTCTCGTTGATCCAAATAGCTTAGTTTTTAAGTTTGCAGCAGAGATGTCGGCCAATCAAAGCGATTTTGAAGACCAAGTCTCAATGACTGTTGATGATGACGAAATTTCGGGTTATGTGTCCGATTGCGGGGATTCCAATTCCGCTGTTTCGGATCGGTTTGATGTTTTCACTCGGAACGGGATGATCCGGTTGGAGGAAGAGAATTCGGCGCATGACATCATCAAGACGTGCTTTCTTTCGGGCATGGGTTTCGCTGGAGGAGACACCAATCTTGTGGCCATACATAAGAACGTGAGCTCTGATTTTACAAGACAAGCGAGGTTTGAGTCGTTCAAGATTTTCTCTCAGGCGGTGGCTCAGAAATGTGGTGGGAATGCCAACGTTAAGTATGCTTGGTATGGTGGATCAAAAGATGAACTTTGTGAGATTTTGGTTCATGGATTCAGTCGGTGCAGAGAGCCTGCCCCAAATGAACAATCTTATGGCGTTGGCGTTCATCTGATTAGTCCTGTCTTTGCTTATGATGGGTAAGTTTGATATGGTTTTTAATTTTCTCTGTAGTTTTTATTAGCACCCACTTCTTGTTTCTGGTTGGTCTTTGAGAAAGCAGACAACTTTAAAGATTTTGAAATTTTATTAAAGCATTCATTGACCATTGTTACAGTGCATTGTCATCAGCTGTTGATGAAAAAGGGCTAAGGCACATGCTACTGTGCCGTGTGATATTGGGGAAGATGGAAACGGTGGCTCCAGGTTCGAAGCAATCTCATCCCAGTTCCAAGGAGATGGACACTGGCGTGGACAATCTTCAGTTTCCTAGAAGATATGTTGTGTGGAGTGCTTTCATGAACTCTCACATTTTTCCTGTTTATGTGGTCAGCTTCAAGGCTCCTAGCCCAAATGGTTGGTACTTCTATTTTGAATTTTGAATTGATCATTTGGTTAAAGCTTTCTCTGTTTATATGAACAATTGGAGATTTTGGGTTTTAACTTTGATTTGGTATGTTCAGTTGTTTCAGGCATTCAACCAAGCATTCAACCAAGGCAGGCAAATACTTCAAAACCCACATCACCATGGGTGACTTTCCCTGCTCTGATGTTCACGCTTGCAAAGTTCTTGCCTCCTCCTAAAATGCTATTGATTGTCAAATCTCACAACGAATTCAGAGTAAGTATTATGGTATTTCTGTTTCTTATATGTCAATCTTCATGGCAATTTGATTCATTATTTGCTTATGTGTGTATCTGCTTGATTGCAGGCAAAGAGGATTACGCGTCCACAGCTGATACAGAAAGTGAGGCAGATAGTTGGTGACAATTTGTTGATCCAAGTGATTAAAGCTTTCAGAAGCAAGAGCCTCCATCCGGCCAGTGCCAAGAGAACTGTGTAACGCTGGTGTAGTTCTTTGTTCAGCAAGAAGCCTTTAGTTTTCTTTCTTTTGGATACAAAGATTAGATATGGTTTTGAACACCCAACCCAAAGGTTTTTCCTTTTTTTGTCATGTTAGTAAAAATTCAAACTGGATTCAGAGTCTACTTCTTCATTGCATCAATTCCCGTTGATTGCTCTGTAATGAACTCCAAAATACAAATTCAAATTGGTTTCTGGTTCTTTTCTGTGTATGTTGGTGGTGTCAGCCATGACTGCATTTGAGAATTAGCAATACAAAGAAGTTGCATATTGGGCTTTGTCATCAGTGTGAATGCTGTTCTGTTCACAAGTGGCCAGTTTCTTTTTTTATGGCATAAATATGAGCGGACAAGCCCAAACAAAACAAGAGGGCTTGGCAAGCAAGTGGCCGCTTTCTTTATGTTGACTTTTGTGTCGTCTCTTTAGCCGGCTGAATAACTCAATTTCTTGTTAAGCAAGCTTTCTACCTCGTTTTTACAAAATTAATTATAATTAAATATGTACTTTTAATTTTTTATTATTATAATTGAAAGTGTACTTTTTTATATTTTATTAATTACAAAATAAAAAGATTCAAGTGTTTTGTTTTTGGCAATTGAGAGCGAGAATGGAGATGAAACAAAAAATGTGAACCAAATATTGAATTAAATTTTTTTTAAATGATGCATGTCAACAAATACTAAAAGCCTATAAAATAAAATTTTAAAAAATTTAGGGTTGAACTAAAAAGGTAGACCTGGACTGTTGTTGCTACTGCAAACCCATTCTCTCATTGGATACGAGTTTCATGAATTATATTTTTAGCCAACGAGGAAAACCGAATGCTCAACTTGTTTCTTAGATAAACTCAAAAGATTAGTTTACAGAAGAGTTTTTATACATATCGACTGTTTACAATAACGTATGACAGCGAAAATTTACCATTTACCAGTGTACACGAAAAATTGACTGCCAATACACAGAGTGAAGCTTTTTCCTAACAAGAACCAAATATAAAATCGTCTTCCGTGTAAGGAAAGAAGGCCTCACAACTTCTACTCCGTATCAACCACAGCACTTAATTGCCCTTCCAGCTGTGTAACAAGAACACAACTAAAATCAATTAAAACTCCTCTTTGCACACTGTTACTAGTGAACCTTTTTCCCACAACTAACAACCTAAAATCAATCAAACTCCAAATAAATTATTCACATATGCCACGCCGGCTTTAATTATGGAAAACATATTAACATGGTGTGCGGAAATAATCAGGCAAAAGTCCGGTAATAGGGTACAAACCTTGGCATTTTTCATCTTCTGTATCTGCAACTCTTCAACTAATTTGTCGATTCTGATAAGAGTGGCAAACAAGATTTCAAACAAGATAATTTATGAAATGGATATGCTTATTGGAAATGCATAGATGGAATCTCACATACTTGTTTTGAATACCAACGACATGATACTCTAAGACTCTCTCTCTTGCAGAAGCCAGAGACATCTGCAACAGTATGACAAAATAATCAATATAAGTATGTCTGGACTCTGGAGTATACTAACTGCAAACTACACCTCGTCTTCCCTAACTTAATGTACAGGTTCAGAAGCCCAACAAGATAACTAATACCTGCATGTGCTTATTGTTGGTTACTGACTCCGCTAACTCCGTATGATTGCCTTCCATTGAGCAAATTCAAGCAAATACGGCAATGTTAAGATATAGAATACAAGAACATCATTGTTTAAAAATTCCCAAAAATATTACTGGAAGCAACGAGCACTACCAGTGATTTGATCTACAACTTCAACCAATCTCATTGTTTCTTCCTGTCAGAATTGAAAATAATCAGAACACCACAGCACAATTTCTCAGGTAGATGAAAGTAAAGTAATTTGATACGCACCCTTTGCATGGCATTTTGCTGCAAAATACAATGCAGTGAAGGAAGAATGGAGGCGGATGTACCAACTATAGAATTTGCCGATTCTCCAAAATATGGGATAGTAATGCCATTTGGAGCGACCTGAACAAAAAAACATATTAGAAATGATCACAAAAATACCGCTATCACATAAATATCCCAAAACGAAACCATCATTTACTGAATATTAAGATTTAAGGGGGCAGAAGAAGACGAGTTCAGGTTATACTGGAGAAATGCTTATAGAAATAAATAAATTAATTAATTAATTAAAGGCTCTCTAGATGTGTGGTGAAACTTCAATATTTCCCCTCAATCATCTGCGGATCCCGTATACGCCATAAATGGAAAACAACATCGTCTGTCTTTCATGATAACTTAAGGAACCAATATATGCTAGCATACCTTAGGACTGGACTCTGGCACTGTGACTTTGAATCGCCCCTTATATGCAGTCTCTGGTACCAAAAAAAGAATAGAAAGTTACAGAGATTTTAGGCTACGAAATAGAAACATTCAAGTTAAACAAGAAGGGATGTGAACTAATGATATAGATAGCAAAATATGCATACCATGTAAAGAACTACCATCATATCTCTTCTGATGACGTGTCAAGTGATCACTGCACAAGATGGATAAGTATATTTGAGAAATCCCTCGCTTAACAAAATCAGAATATTGCACTAGCCTTTAATATCTAAATCAGTTTTCTAGGTAGTAAAAGAAGAAATCAAATTAGAAATGAATAAACTTCTAAACAGGATGGAAACAGCACACATCTAGGTAAAGGGAAAAAAAAGTTATGGGATGTGAGATTTCCTAAAAGCTTTTGAAAGAAGTTGTATTCACATGAGATTGCATTAAAAAATTTAACAAATAAAGATCTTATGCATACAGCAATGATCTTTTTAATTATAGAAAAATCAGCTAAACGAATTGAGAATTACACAACAAAAATGTCACTTCAAATCCAATAGGTAATAGAAAAATAATTTTGTCCTGTGCACCGCAACATATGTGTCTAGTAACCCTTAACCAGTGGATAAGGAGATCCTTGGCAAAGTTATGTTTAATACACTTTCTTAGAAGTTACACCACAATCATCCACATATATTAGTTGATGCAAGACAGTGCAAAAACTGCATATGCATAATCGATTCAAAATTTGATACTCCGTACTTATGAATAAACCAGTGGAAATATCAAGAACTGGAAAAATTATGAAATGGATGAACATTTGCTTTAAAACAAGGAAAATATTTATAAGTCACCAGAGTTCTGAACTTGCCTGCCCTCATCAGCACTCACAGAAGGGGAATGATCAACTTTTAATGGAGGTAAACTGCTTAAGAACTTTGGATCTTCAGAATTAACATTTCTTAGTAAATAGCGACTTTTTTCCAAATTATCAAGTCCAGAATAGCTACTCTGTTTCCCTTGTACTGATGGTGATAAATCAACAATTTCTTCAATTTCGTCGGGGCTGGAATGTTTCCATTCTGATCTACTAAAATTGAAACTATCTACACGTGCATTAATGGGATCTCTGCATGCAAATTAGCACATTATCAATACCCCCTTAGATAGTGTAGATTTTGCAGAACTAAGTGATTTAACCTTTCTCCCAATCACCTGTCTGTTACATCAGCTGAGTTACCAAATTCACCCCTATGTTTGCAGCTCCAGTCTTGGTTTTCTGCAATGGTGATGCCATCATCATCTTCAATCTAAACACAGAGAATAGTGTTCATAAGAGTGTGAACTGCACTAAGTTCTACAATCAACCACTCTTAGTGTCTTGCAGATCATTCCACAAAGGAAAAAGAAAGACAAATATACATATCAAGAACAATGACCTACTCACAAGAGCAGCCTGTCTTTTCAAATCCTCTAGATCAAAATTCCATGCGCTGATCCCTCGCATATACTCTTGCTGCAATAAACAAAAGTTATGAACTGTATACACCATTTGAATTTAAAAGAAGCAATACAAACTATGAACCATTTTGAATTTAAAAGAAGTATTACAAAATAAGGTTATTCATTACCTGTGATAAATGGTCTTTGTCACCATACATAGCCTCATTTTGTGCGAAGAACTCAGCCTCTTTTTGCTGATAAAGAGAAGGCACATCAAAACACTTTCAAACTTACAGGACAGTAGAATTTTTATGAAAACTGTAAAAATCTGAAATGAAGATTCCAACCTTCAACATCCTAAAACGATCCCCAAGGAGGGAAAGGCCGTCGAGAATTGTCCGAGCTATAAATTCCTTATTATGTGCATGTTTAAAGAAACGGTGCTTCAAAAGCTTTTCTGCAGTAGGACGCTTCTTCGGATCCTTAACTAAGCAGGCAGCTACTATCTCTTTAAATGACTACAAGTGAAAATCAAGTTTAGAGCAGAATGTAAAAACAGTGACTTTATAAAGATTATCACTGGAGTCGCACCTTTGAAAATCTCTTGTCCCTTTCATAGTCAAGGCCAGGAGGAGCATTTTGTAAGGTCATTAACAAAACCTACAATGGCAATAATATAGGCATACCACAAACCAAAGTTAATAAAAACAATGATTTCCCCTAAGAAAAGAAAGGCACAATTTTGAGTTAAGTACATGAATTAAATATGAAGGGGAACCATGACCAATGGAATTACTCCAGGACATGGCAAGCACATGCCTTCCATAGATAAAAATAATACAAACAGACAAGGACATACTAAAAAAGAGTATAAAAAAAGGACAGTAAGAAGATATATGTTTTTAATACAAATGTGCATGATACGAACAGAGTCTTAGCAAGAATTTTCGTCAGTTTTGTTTATAATTTTAAGAAACTTCACTGTACAGCATGTCCAAGATTTAATAGCTCCATGTCCCATGCAATTTAACTTCAACGAGTCATGAGATTTACCTTCATTGGTGGGTACTTTGAAAATGGGGCATGACCATGAGCAAGTTCTAGTGCTGTTATCCCAAATGACCAGATGTCTGCTCTGTTTGAATATGAAGGTATTTTAGTTAGATGATATGCTTAAAAATGCCACCAAGTTAAACGTAGAGATAGCCCAGTGATAATGAAATTCAAGGTCATTAAACATACACATCAATGAGTATTCTTGCATGATTGGAAATAAATACATTCATAGCATCAGAATATGAACAACCGGTCTAGAGCTAATATACCTCACCTTCTCAAATGAGCTTAAACTTTCACGCTTTCATTTACTGGTTTCTTATTTACACACATGACAGACGCACAAAGACACATAGGAGAGAGAGAGAGAGAGAGAGAGAGAGAGAGAGAGAGAGAGAGAGAGAGAGAGAGAGAGAGAGAGAGAGAGAGAGAGAGAGAGAGAGAGAGAGAGAGAGAGAGAGAGAGAGAGAGAGAGAGAGAGAGTGTGTGTGTGTGTGTGTGTGTGTGTGTGTGTTATGCGTCCATGTTAAGTTTTATGAAATGTAGATACAGGAAGTACACAGAATGTGTTATTATACTTTCAGCAGGGAATTCAGGTATAAACTGTCAAACATTTAAATAAAAGTGGTTGATTAGGTTTTTTGGTAATTGATTTATTAGTCTATACTTTACAGATATTAATTACCAGAGGACCAACTGTAAATGAATTAACCACTCACTTAAAGTCATAGCCATGCAATTGCTGCATAACTTCCGGAGCCATCCTGTGGAAAAATGGGGTTAGACAGCAGACTCGAACATAATATGCTTTGGAAAGAACTCCCTATAGTCAAATAGACAATATCAAGATAGTGAAGGTCCAGGCCACCACCAGCAAGGAGTTCCAACAAATGTTTTTCTTGCATGTTGTCTATTGCCAGTATCAAACAAGCTCGCTGAAACTCCAAAGTCCGCTAACTTAACTGCACCTTTTGTATCAACGAGTATATTTCCAGCCTGTAAATGATAGGGTTAAAAGGTTATATATCATGTTTAAACCCTGATCACAAGCCAATTCGAAAAGTTAGCGGAAACCAGCTTTTCACCCAAAACTAATAGGATAAATTTGGTAAACTCGGCTTTATAGAGAAACTATACAAACATACATAGGTGTGTAAATAAATGCACTTACTAAAGTTTAATCAAATGTACAATGTATTGTCACCAAAAAGAATCTACAATGTATCAATGCAGCTACTAATGGCCAGCCCTAAGTGCAACACTTGTAAAACAAGCACTCAAATGCAAATACCAGGCTGACTGACATACCTTAACATCTCTATGAATATGGCCATGGGCATGTAGATAAGCAATGGCTTTGAGAACCCCATGCAACAATGTAGCAATAACGGGCTGTTCGAAACCATCAGGATGAGCAGATTTCATAATGTGGAGACATGACCCAGCAGCCATGTAAGGCGTGACAATCCAGAGGCTCCTGGAAGCAGTGAAAGAGCAGTGTGCCTTGAGCAGATTTGGATGGTCAAGCAAGATCATGGTTTGTACTTCTCGACGAATAACATCCTGGTGGGTTTGGGTGAAATTGCGAATGACACAAAAATCATAACTGGGTACAAGCAAAAAGGGAAATGGGAAGTTGATGAAGGAGTAGAAAATGAAAAATACCAAGTCATTGTTGCATTTCTCCAAGTCCAGAACTTTGATGGCGACGATTATATTAAGTGGGATGCAGAGAGCTCTGTAGACAGTGGCGCTCACACCTTGACCCACTTCTTCGTACAACGTGTAGTCTTTGGGGTCTACTGGAAAGTTCTTTTTGGGTGAATATTCCATGGTCTTTTTCGCTATAGTAGTACGTCATCAACATTCAACACCCTCCCTTCTCTTTGCTCCCCACAAATTAATCTCACACACAAAACAAGAACGAAAAAAATACCCAAATTCATTTGCTAAATTAAATACAGCAATAAAAGCGAATCATGGTTGATGTTGTATTGAGTTGAGAAAATATTGAAGGAGACGAGATGAAGGAAACAAGGGGAGAAATTGAAACTTATAGCAGGAAGCCCTAGGAAGGCCAGAAGGTGAAAGAAGAAGAAAAATGGGGGAGATTAAGATTATAATATAAGAGATGAATCCAATGATGTGTTTCGGCGAATCCGCCAAGAGGTCTACTGGAGTCTGTGAGGCTTTGTCTCTTTTGCTCCCTCAAACGACGACTCTCTCTCTATCTGTGACTCACCGCTTCGGTGAAACAAAAGATATTATTTTGCAGCGATTTTTTAAATTCAAATTTTTTTTATCTTTTTTTTTTTCAATTTAGAGTCAAATATATTCAATTCAAGGATTTTTGTGAGTGTAGATTATTGTCTATTTTGCCAATTTCTTCCTTATTTGTTGCCTCTTCGTGCTAAAGAAAATCACTATTTAGCTATTTGCAGCCAAAAAAATAAAAAAATAAAAAATAAAAAATAAAATTCAGGGTTGCTCAATTCTCAACAAAAATGGAAAAATGCTGCGCTAAGAGATTTGAAGTGCGCGGGCTTTTTTCGTTATTTTCTTCGGGCTTTTCCTTCTTTCCACCAACCAAGTACCAGCGCTGCCTTCTTCATCATTGGGCCTGAAATCTTGGAGTTGGATTGGGCCCCTCTGTCATTTTTGTTCCAACATCTACGGACCCAACTCACCCCAAGTTTGTAACAATGAACCCTTTTTTTTTCTTTCTTTTTTTCTTTTTGAGTTTGATGGGATTCCTTTGATAAAGTAAAACCATATCATGTTTCACAGATGCTCATCTTTGTTTTACAATACAACTTGTCTAAACTGGGCCACAGTCGAGTTGTTTTCTTTTCTTATAGTGTTTCAAAGTTTAGCTCAGCATAAAATCTAATAGTTTATTTGTAGCCCCATTTTGAAATCGTGAGTTCGCCTCTAGATGTAATATTATAAATTAATCTTCTTTTTTTTTAAATGGAGATTTGAACTCGAATGCAAGAAAGTGAACAGACACACTGCCCATCCCTAACCTACATCTGCACTACTCTACATATATATATATATATATATATATATGAGAAATCATTAGGAAAGAGGTAGATTGAAATCTCATATTTAGGTATGGAACTAATTACTCACTACTAATACTACAACCTATCTCAACCTGTGCATTAATAGGAGACATGTGTGTAGGGGTAGTTTTTTCTTTTTGTCCTTTTAAACATTTTGTTTATTTTATCTTTTCCCATAATACCCCTCTAATTTCTTAACTTGTTCTGTAGTGTTGAGGGGTATATTTTCTCCACGTCCATGTCAAATTGTCAATAGGAGATAAACAGTTGTTTGTGTGTTTAGTGGGATGTATTTTGGTAGGAAGCGTGTGATGGATGATGACTGCATGTGAAAGTCAGCTAGCTGGATATTGGAATCTTCTTTTTCATCCTCAGAATGTTGACCACAGGAAGATTCTTCATGTGCTTTGGCTGCGCCAAACTAAACTTGGGGGCTACTCCCTTTTGCTTTGGTACCTAGGAAGTAGTAAAACGGGGCTGCTTTGTCAATTACTCGTTGTACCCCATCCCACAAGTCCAGAATGTCGGATCTTGACCAAAAAAAAAAGAGTCCAGAATGTCGGATTTGTCGAGGGGACTTTGCCTGCCTCGCAAGACATCCATCCGGCCTTAAGGAATTGAATTGACCCAGTCGCTCCAAACCTTAATTATATATATCTTTTAATTAACTTCGATTAATTAAGGGCTAAGTGAGCTGTTCATTGTTCGTTTCAACGTCGATTGTTGTTGATCATCATGCAAAGCTAAAGCTAATAAGACAGACAGACAGCAAAAGGAAGTTTGACTTGTGCCTTAATAATTTATGATGACGCCTTGCCCTCGTGACCTTAATTAATAATCCTTAACTTAATCCATAAGAGAGTTGATTCATTAGCAGCAAGTAGACATCTAGAATGATTGGAAATTCAAACTTACCATTAAATAGCAATACAGCACGACCAAGTTTTTCATGTCACGTGGTCCAGATGTTAACTTGTTCATTCTCATTTTTATAGTTAATGCTGAAAATGGGAAGTTCCAGAATAACTCGGCTACGTAGACAGAATCGACAAGGCAGATCATGACGCTTTATTTCAATCCTTCATCTCATCCAAATATGAAAATGATGTTCTATCTAAAATTTAATTCCCTTAAATGTAAGCAAGAATATCCGCATATAAGAATAATATTTATATTCTATTTTGGGATTTTTAATTGATATTAAAGGAGAGAGAAATCGAACCTATGACTTCGGGTGCACCGATAAATGCTCTTAATCAATTGAGCTACAATTTTATCTCGCGACCACTATGCCATGATGTGACTCTCATTGGCGGTGGGAAAAAGCAAAAGCCAAAGTGTATTGTTGAGATTACAAGATATTAACTTCCTCCATTAAAAGTTTGTCAATTAAATTATTCATAGATGTACTTTTTACCTATAATAAAGATATATACGAGATCTCTTGTAGATAAGTAGTATCAACAAGTTGAATGCAAGTGCATGCATTGAAACGGTTGTTAATATCATCCTCCTTCTAGTCCCTTGTTTATCATCCGCCCGCAATTAGACTTTTCTGGTTTTCTATTCTTCCCAAGAAAACTTTCTTCCCAAATTCCTGAATCCTGACCCATGAATTTTATTATTATTTTTTTTCGATACTCTTTTTTTTTTTTTTTTTGGATTTTGTTGGTGACTGATGACGGATGTAAAGAATAAAGTAATTTCCTTTTAATTGCCATGCAAGTCACAACCCCAATCACATAAGCACTCATTTACTTCACCCATGACGTGTCCCTGCCTTCTCCTCCCAAACCCCACCCAACTATTTTAATACACCCCCTTGACTTTTTAGACGCATCTTCCCACCCCACCGAAAGTCAGCCTATCCCGCGCGCGGGTGAGCAGGGCTGAGCAAAAATACCAGTCTTTTTCTAATTTTACTTTAACACCCCTGCATTTGGCATTTGGCCTCTTCTTTTCTACATTCTACCAAATTCATCACAAATGGATGCTCCAACACCAACCGCGTGGTATGAACACGTGTACGGTGTGAAACCGAGCTTCCCAAGTCTCGAGTTCCCAACGACCCTCTAAAACGTACCCCCATCCCCTACCCATATTTGGTGGGTCCACCCGCCAATATTGCCCAGCCTCTTATATATTCCAACTTCATTTCTTTTTTCCCCACCACCAACTCAAAACCAAAACTCCCAAGCGTCTCTCTCTCTCTCTCTCTCTCTCTCTCTCTCTCTCTGTGTAGTTTAAACTTTCAAGCATCAAACCCTCAAAAACCCCAAACTGTCTACGATTGAACAAAACGAAAATGCAAGCGGTTTCGGTGCTGTCTTTGTCTCCCAGCTTCAATTCGTACGATTCGAAGAACGAATTTGAATACGCGCAGCTCTCTGCAAATTTCAGCTCCAAGCTCAAAATCGCTGGTTCCGGTAGCGATTTCGAATTCAATGACACTAAACCCGTAGCTTTAGATAACGAGAAGGAGAAGCCGGAAATGGAAGAGAGCGAAGGTGTTCAGAACGCCGACGTCGGTGGTGATTGCGAGAAGCACGAAGATGAAGACGATTTCTCTTTCGTCTGCACCAACCCCGACGGATCGCCGATTTCCGCCGACGATATATTCCAAAATGGCCAGATCCGTCCGGTGTATCCGATTTTCAACCGGGATCTCCTGTTCGCCGACGCCGACGACGGCGGTTCTTCCAGAGCCAGAGGGGCTGCCGCTTCGTCTTCCTCTCTGCGGCCCCCATTGAAGAAGCTCTTCTTCGAAGAGCGGGATACGCCGTCGTCCTCGGCGTCCGAGTCGGACGAGCTCGAAGGAGTCCCCGAAGGAACGTACTGCGAGTGGTCCAGGAAGCCCGTGGTGGTTGCGCCGGAGCTCAAGAACAAGAGCAATTCGACGGGGTCGTCGAAGCTGTGGAGAGTCAGAGACTTGAAGCTCCGGAGCAACAGCGACGGGAAAGACGCGTTCGTGTTCCTGAACCCTAATTCGACGACGAGGAGCCCAAAGCCAAGCCAGGAAACGGCCGATAACAAGAGCGGCGCTAAGATTGTGAAGACGGTGGAAAAGGTTAAGGGGAAGGCTAAGAAAGCCGAAACGGTTTCGTCGGCGCACGAGAAGCATTACGTAATGAACCGAGCGAAGAAGGAGGGGGATAAACGGCGGTCGTACTTGCCGTATAGGCAGGATCTGGTTGGGTTCTTCACCAATGTGAACGGCTTGAGCAGAAACGTTCATCCTTTCTGAGGGCTCACCCGTCATTAACCATTTATTTATTTATTTTTGTTTACTCATTGGAGTTTTTTCATTGATTAATTAATTAATTAATGTAAATTACTGGAGACGGATGAAATGGTATTTTCCATTAGGAACCGCAATATGTATATTTTCTTTTCAAAGGAACGACGCGTTATTAGAAACGACGCAATATGTATATCTTCTTCTTAAATTTACAAGGAAAATGATGAAATCATTACTTTATTTCTTATTCACTTTTCTGAAAAACAGATGGTACCTATCGTAGAATCGAATACAACCAAAGATAAGATGAAGGTTATTGTCAAAAGGTAGCACAATGTTAAAAATACAATTCCGACAAAGCAAAAGGTAGAAGGTTCCCATTCCTACCACTTGATCATTTCATTTTCATACCAATAATTTAATTAAACATGAGCGGTAGGTAGATTAGGAACTAAATAAATCAAGCAATATTTGATTAAACAAAGTGGCCTCTCAACTTGTTAACCATTTCCTTCCCAATTCCCTCACACATTCTCACCATATTTTTTTATACAAGCGATATTGGAGGAGAGAGAAATTGAACTTAAGATCTCGGATGCGATGCAAGGTTTAAATTCTCTTAATTACTTGAGCTACAACAATTCCCTTCTCACAATAAATTTTTTTTTTAAAAGGAGAAGCCTTTGTTTTAGTACAAATGCTTTTGCCAGCCAGATTAAACAAGGATGGTACTAGTTGTCCAGTACTATCCAATACAATTCAAGACTGGAGAAGAGAAACCATAAGTAAGGACGGCTCAATAATTAAGGGTGGACCAGTACCAGTGCCAGTGCCACCGATATTGCAGCATTATTGAACCCAGCAGAGTAAAAAGCGGGTCCAGAAAAGTTGGTTGAAACTTGAACATGATATTTATTGAGCATCAAAAGGGCAAAACTAAGTCAAAAAGGCGCAGGTAGAAGTTAAGGACAGTAATTACCCAGTTGCATGCAAAAGAGAAACACACTGAGACCCACAATTTGTTCTTGCTTGTTCTTTTTATTACTTTCAAAACGTTATTTACACTGGTTAATTATGCATATACATTTTTTTTTTCAATCTGCATTATTAAATACCAACAACTTATCCAAGCTCTGTTGCTAATTGATGTGTCGACAGTCTTGCATTTCTGAACAGAAATGTCAACGCAAGTCAAAGATTTCAAACCTCAGATTTGAGTTTGTGTAGACATTAGAGCAGTGCTCGTAAATGGGGCTCCCATCTGTGGTTTCTTTGTGAGGATGAAACCCTTGCTCTTGGCACTCTTTTAGGACACTCATCCCGCCAGGGTCGGATAGACGAAATATTCCATAGCTCCTGGAAAAATCCCAATAATAAGTTTCTCAATATAGCTATGTGAAAGGGTTAATCGTTTTATTAGTCCCTAAATTTATATTCGATTTGCATTTGAGTACCTCAATTTCCAAAATAGTTCCCGTGGTCCTTCAACTTCAGTTTCATTAAGACAAATGGTCCTGCCGTTAATTTTGTTAACTTTTATATTAAATTCAGGGGCAAAATTGTTTTTTTTAATTTATCAAAATTGATTAAAATATGAATAAAAAATTAAAAAACTAAACAATTATAATTAAACTCTCTCTCTCTCTCTCTCTCTCTCCACCTCTATTCCGATTTCTACTCTCCCAAACTTAATTTTTCTTATTTTTTTAATTTTTTATTTGATTTTCTTTTATTGTTATTTTAAAGATATGATTTTTTGTTCATTTTTTTTGTTTTAATATAAAAATACCATTTTGCCCCTGTATTTAACAGAAAAAGTTAACAAAATTGACGGCGTGACCATTTGTCCTAACGAAAGTGAAGTTAAAGGACCACGAGAACTATTTTGGAAATTAAGGTACTCAAATGCAAATCGGGTCTAAGTTCAGGGACTAATAAAATAATTAACCCCTACGTGAAAATATGTTAATAGTTATTAGCTGTTGAACTGAAAAAAGTTGGTTCTGTTTGCATATGCAATGCTTCCCTTAATGTTGTGTTCTTAGAAGGTAGAGCATACTTAGTTTTATGTATTTTCATGTGCTCCTACTTACATTTTGAAACATTTACTTGCATATTCAACCGGCCTACTTAAGGAGTTTTGTACTGGAATTCTTTTACTATAGAAGAGGCTCAACACACTCTGAAAGGTGGCCTTGGTGTAATTATTAGAAATACTGGTGGTCAGTTTGTTGGGGGTTTAGCTGGTCCTATTTGCTGTGATTCAGCACTAGCAGCGGAAGCTCATTCAGCAATTAAAGGGCCTGCTTTGTCTGCTAACCTTGGCTTTAGAGATGTCATTGAGGAAACTGACTCAAAATTGCTTATCAATGGGATAAATGGTGACTTTAGAAACAAAGTGTGGTCCATTATGCCCCTCCTTGAGGAGCTTCACAGAATCTGTGGGTCTATGCATGAGGTTCGATGGAGTTGGGTGCATAGAGATTTAAATCAGGCTGCTCATGAGGCAGCCATGATTGGAGTTAGAGCTATGGAGCTGGAAAGCTGGGTCTCACGACCACGATTGTCTCTGGTGCAAGTTCTGGTCTCGGATGGACTCCCATGTCCTCCTTAAGTTTCTTTTTGTTTTGGGTTGAAAGTTTTTCATTGCTGGGTTGTATGGATTCAGTAGAAAGGCTTTCAATTTTGCTTTCCTTCCTTATTTGAAAGCTCTTTTGCCGATTTTCCAGCCTTGGAATGAAATTTCAGTCTTGACCCAAAAAAAAAATAGAGGAGGCTCAACTTACTGGTCATATTTTCAAGGAAAAATGGTGAGCAGAGAATAATGAATTCACAAAGCATTACGAATGAAGCCCATCAGAGTTGCATACCTTGAGGTATCTGTCGGAGCCATGACAACGGCAAATGCCTCAGGTATCATAACCTGAAGATAAAAGATGGAAAAGGAGATGTTAGACTTCACTTAGGATAACAGGAACCGGAAGCATATTAACATAATTACATGTAACATTTGCAGTCTTTGCAAATAAACTGATTGATGAGCAGAGTCCTTTGTTGAAGTGGAAAAAACCCCCCCAAAAGAAGGCAATTCAGAACTCTTAATCTTAAATAATTGCATCCAAATGGATCGTGAAACTACATGAAATGTGCCGATATCAAAGGAAGTTAGTACAAGTGGATGTGATTACAATGGATAACTTTGGAAATTTTCCTGTCATACTTCTGATGTGGTTATACTAGATATGATGAGAAAAGAACCAAACCCGTAAACATTCTTGATAATGACACTGCCTTCACACTGATTGAGTCAATTACCTGACATGAATAATGAGTGTGCAAATCCACTGATGACATGAAACATTTTTGAGAAGGATGTGTCTGAAAATAAACAGTTGACAAAGGTCAGAGTTCACGAAAAATGAATATTATTAATTACTTTAAAATAATAGGAAAATGCCTACATGGATCCATCCTACAGGGAAAAGTGATTGTTCGTTTTGTATGGAGAAAACTTCCTCGTCATTTGTTGCCTGGCACTTTCATATTTTGCAGTCAGCAGAAAACACTAGTGAGATTACACTCTGTGAATGAAAAACAGACAAACAAGACGAGTGAACTGCCAAAAGATACTTACAGAGTTGGAAGTGCATTCCTGTTTGGGTATGATTAGAGTTGTCACATAGAATGTTCCATTTTTCTATGCACACACAAGAAACAAATATATATTACCTTCAAGGAAATAATCACACTCTAATCTATTTCCGCTTTCCTTTTATAACATTGAGAATGTGTACATGCAGATAAAAAGGGCAAGAATAATTGTATAGCAAAGATCCAGAAACAATTTTGAATGTGCAAACCGTGAGAAAGTGAGAGAGGGTTGGGAGACAGAAGAAACTGCTTGAACATAGCAATGGAGACCTATGGAAGTGAGAATGTGTAAAAAATAAAAGTATATGCCACAAAACGGCGAATGCCTAATGATTTAAAACATGTGTTTTTCAAAAGAACATACTCCCATAATATAGTTGGGCCAATTGCTGGGCATTCTTATACTTGTAAACCTTACATATTTACCATATCTTACGGAAGAAACATATTGGTTTTAGAATCTAAGGCGAACATGAATCTTACCAGAAAGGCGCCAAGAGTCCCACATGTTTCTAGATCCTTCTCTGTATTGTCTTTAGCAAGCTCAAGGAAATCTTCCATTAAATTTGCTGACTGAAAAGGATTATACCAGTTCATTATCAGATATCTATACTCAATGCAGAAATATACCCATAAAATAGTCCCGAGTTTGGATGATACACATGGAAATGCAAAAAGTTCTTACAATATGTACATCTCGCAGGACCGTTGATGATGTTGATTGATTAGATGACTGTGATTGTCCATGCTCTGTATCGACTGTAATTTGTGAAATATTAGCACCTTGAGGCACACTTTCTGTGCAGGAGATTACAGGAGAAGGAGTGAACTGAGTAACAGTATGAACGGTGATGATCTGACATTGGCTAGTTGTCTTCAAAAATTTTGAACCGCAAAATTTACATGCGCAGAAACTACTGCCGGATGCCACTGAACACAAAGATGACATGCTAGCGTTTTCCTCATTGATGTTCCTGAAGCTGTAAACAAAAAAGGAATTTATACCAAATTAACAAGAATTTGCATAAGAATGGTAGTTATGCAAATTGTAAAAGGGTTCTCTGAAGTGGATATTTTACTTGATATCTGTACCTTAGACAACTTCTTTCTGCCATAGCACAACTTCCAACCTGAATGAGAGGAACTAAAGTCATAAGGACTCGAACCAAATTACAGAAGAAATACTTTTTCCCCAAAACTTCCTGAACTCATTGTAAACTAATTCTCAGTGTTCCACCTTAATTTACAGATCATTATAGGAAATAAAGAAACAGTTTTTGTCATTCCAAAGGTGCTTTAAGAGCGCTAATAACCAAACAAAAAGTGTTTTAGACATCATTGAAAGCTGTTATTCTTAATGAAAACATTGTTTTGGAAATTTCATGTCACACAGTTCAAACTAAATAAAATTTCAATTCCCAAACACCTTTATATGAGAGAGAACATAAAAAGAGAGGAATCTCAATTCTGTTTCTGTACCTTGTTATGATAAATCTTTTCTTTTGTTGAAAGCGCTAAGTAACTCCATTGCTGAGAGTTATAACATCAGTCAGTCTGTTAATCCAAGTTACAAAATTTATGAAACTCCTTCTCTTCCCATTTGTGGTAAACAAAGAGAAAACAGTCACCATTAATTTGATGCACCTATAGAAAATATTACTAATTTTTTTAATAAAAATTCTTCAGTTTGAACATGAGAGTATCCTCCTCAACTTTCAGTAACTTGTACTTTACTTGACTAGAGTTTAGAAACCAAGAAGAAAACCAAAGTTCCCAGCAGGGGAAAGACAAACATATATAGCCGTCTGTGAGTGAATGTTGACAGTAGTGAAAACAAAAGAGGAAAATAACTACAACACAACCCAGAATAGTAAACAACCAGGGTGTGATTGTGAAGCCCTATCTCAAAATTCCCAAAGAAAATTGGTGGTTGAATTAGTAGGGAAGATCACTGTCAAAACCAGAAATTGTTGATTGCCCACTAATTATAAAGGGCAAGGTTACCTGCAGTGCCTGTCAAGTATGGTGTATAGCTGGGAGATGAACTTGGAAGTTGGAGGTGAAATTTACGAGCTGTGTCTTCAGAATTTGAGCTTTGCATCCCTTTGGCAATGTAGCAGTTGATTTTCAACACTTTTTTTGTGTGTAAATGAACAACACACGATCACCCAAAGTGAGAGAGTATTTTCGCTCATCACTTTAACCCAAGATGTACCATCAACATCATTCTCAACATTTGACACATATTTATTGACATAACTATGATTACATAAATACAAAATAAAAAGTTAACAATGACTATGACAAGAGACACATGTCAAGTGTTGAGAATGGTAATGAGAGTACACCCTGAATTAAAGTGGTGAGCAAAAATATACCCCCAAAATGGTGCTTGTGACACTGACACCTACCACGCCAGCTGCCAGCACCGTCACACACGTAAGGGTGGGTGAGTGCGGTCCAGTGCACATTGGTTTCATACTCATCTTATAGCTAAACCAATCAAGCAGTTAACTGGATTTGAGCTAAAATTAGACTTCTAGTACCAGTGGGATGAAACATAATACTGAAAAGTAACGACCTATAAGAAAATATTAGTGTCAAAAAATAATGAAATTAACATGGTCAACAATCTAACCCGATAAAAAAGGGCCTTTTGCATATCAGTAATAATCTCATGTTTAAATCCCCATAACAATATGTGTGAGAAAACTCCTTTCCCAATATGACTTGTATAAAAATAACAAAAACATAGACAGTTTTGATTTGGTTTTTGCAGTTTTTAACTCGGCTAAATTGAACCAATTCAAGTTAATTACAATTTGGTTTGAAACTATTGTAAATAATACGTGAAAAAGACCTATGAAAATATGTAAATAATATGTGAAATATACAATTTATTTTAGGCTTTTTGGTGTACGACTTGTCGTTTGTATTGCACAGGTATGTATGATGAGTAGGACAACGGTAACATTATTCCGGAAAATTGTCGTGATTTTGTGGTTGGTTTTGGCAATTGGGATGAGGACACAAAATACATGTCTTTCTAATCAATGGGTGCAGCCCCATGCCATGCCATACAATATACCAGGATTGGCTATCTAAAGATGATGATGATGACGGGCTTATTGGAGACTCATAACTAATATGAGATCCTCATTCCATAGAGATAGAAGGTCCCTGCTTCACCTCTAGACGCTTTGCTTCCTTTATCCACTGGGCAGGGCTGGGATGGGAATGTAGAGCTACCACCTAACCTTCTACCTTTCTCTGTGTGTGTGTGTGTGTATTTATATACAGAGAGAGAGAGAGAGAGAGAGAGAGAGAGAGAGAGAGAGAGAGAGAGAGAGAGAGAGAGAGAGAGAGAGAGAGAGAGAGAGAGAGAGAGAGAGAGAGAGAGAGAGAGAGAGAGAGAGAGAGAGAGAGAGAGAGAGAGAGAGAGAGAGAGAGAGAGAGAGAGAGAGAGAGAGAGAGAGAGAGAGAGAGAGAGAGAGAGAGAGAGAGAGAGAGAGAGAGAGAGAGAGAGAGAGAGAGAGAGAGAGAGAGAGAGAGAGAGAGAGAGAGAGAGAGAGAGAGAGAGAGAGAGAGAGAGAGAGAGAGAGAGAGAGAGAGAGAGAGAGAGAGAGAGAGAGAGAGAGAGAGAGAGAGAGAGAGAGAGAGAGAGAGAGAGAGAGAGAGAGAGAGAGAGAGAGAGAGAGAGAGAGAGAGAGAGAGAGAGAGAGAGAGAGAGAGAGAGAGAGAGAGAGAGAGAGAGAGAGAGAGAGAGAGAGAGAGAGAGAGAGAGAGAGAGAGAGAGAGAGAGAGAGAGAGAGAGAGAGAGAGAGAGAGAGAGAGAGAGAGAGAGAGAGAGAGAGAGAGTCTGATTTTGGCTCCAACAGGCAACATGGCTCGACTTTGGTGGCTGCTGCTAGTCTAACTTCCAAAAAGCAGCTCTTCTCAACCTCAGTTTTGCAGAGAAACGGGACATGGCTGGAACGTTTCGAAGATGCTTGTTCTGCTGTACAAAAGCAAGGGGCACGGTAAGATCTCCTCCAACTTTAAAGCTTTATTATTTTATTGCTTGAAGAAGATCATATTAATATTAAAGCTCAAGTCAAGAAACAAACAATTGACATTTTGCAGAGCTAGCTAATTGTATGTTGCCTCTCAACTTTTTCATGAGCCAACTAAAAACTTTTTGTTACTCAACGTCACTTAACTTTTCTATTTTTATATAAAAATATTAAGACTCGTGTATAAAACGGTTTGGTCACATAATATAACACGAAATAGAGTCGGATAAATATAAAATGTTTGTTTCTTAATTTATGGCACGAACAATGCAAACTATGTATATTTTAATTCTCATCCCGGGGACATGCCGCAACTATAGAAAATGTTGTCAACTATAATTGAATATATGGACCAATTAAACTTTTTGCAGTACGATTGGCAATTGATAGCACGACTTAGGGTGAAGAAGATGGATTGGATCCTGCAAATACCAAGTACAAAGATGGATCTCTAAATTAAGATACAAGCTTTACCTTTCACTTGTGTCTTGGTCTGCTTAATTATTAGTTATTTAATTAATTATTTGCAAATCCCTATATAATTTCATAAACCTAGCTTCAATCCATATTAATTTTGGGTTCCTCTGCTTCTAGCCCGGTTATATCCAACGCCGGTGTTGACAAGGAACCCACCGATCAAACTTGTTTTTTGTTATTAGAGCTAATGCTTCTATAAATTAGCATAGAGGATAGCAAAACTATCCGAAACTCAAATGTGAGACGTCATCCAATGAAATCTTATAAATTGTCTTTTGGTTTGTTTCAAACATTATTATTATTATTTTAATCAGTTTATTTCAACTTCATTTATTTATTAATTAATCAATTTGGGCTAATTGAGGCTCTGCTTACCTTTTTCTAAGTTTCGAAAGCGACGAATGGATTGTCCATTTGTCCCATAGAATTTATCCATGAACAAGTCGGTCCATTTGATTTCAATTTCAATTTGAATTTTGACTAGAATTATAAAAAACAACTTGCAAAATGCCTTTTTGCTTTCACGAAGAGTGCATCATGCGACCACTTTTTAGAGGTCGAAAATGTATTCTTTCGGAAGTTGATGAAGAAGAAGATAATCCTTCATTGAATTTAATCTAAAAATAGACAAAATAAAAATATAACAAATTAATTTCCGTTACGCGTGCTGACAATTTCATTTCTAAGTACAGTTCATAGGTAGACGTCACCGTTTTATTAAAAATAGAAGTGCTTTTAATCACTCACCCTTATCTTATTTATTTTTTCAGTCACCCTATCCCACCACCCACCACGTGGCGCCTACCCACTCGTGGCCTTTGGTTGACTTCCTCATGCCCATACACCCGCGCTCCGCTACCTACATGGGTGCCGTTGTTTAACCTTTTTACCACGCCGATTTTCTTAAGTCACCCTTTTACCGCGCTATTAGTTACCCACCCTACCTATTCTACACCCAAACCTACGGCATCATTTCCTACCTAAAACGCGTGATTAATATTGAGGAATGTTAGTAGACGTGGATTATACCAGTTGGCCAGAATAATGAGCCCGTCTCTTTGCATTCAAGTTAGAGCTTCCCTCTTACATTTCCCTTCTTGTTTTTCTTATTCAATTTATACCACACGTATTCTAACTACACATAAATATGTATAAGATAGCATTCCTCTTTAATATTTCATCTGTTATTTACCAATCAGGAAATTACCATGTACAAAAACAAAAACACGACTATGCGTTCTCTAGTTTCATGTGCATTTCCTAAAAGATCCTAATGTTGTGCGTAACGTTAATTAATCCAAAAAATAATGGAGGTTTCCATATAAGTCAAATGTTTTGGATATAACTATAACAAAAGGCAAAATATTATAAATACCGAAAGCACAGTTTACGTGAGTTGTGCTCAACTGGTGGTCACTGTCCCTCCTCTTCCTCCTCCCTCCCTCCTCCCTCCCTCCCTCCTCAAATCCTCATCACCTGCAAAATTCGATTCTCTCCAATTCCCAAACCCCAGATTCACAGGTCCGTACACTCTTCTTCTCGATCTTTCTCTTATTTCTTTACGTTGATCTCAACCGATCCTGATCAGATATATGAAAATAATTCGTTTGTAATTCACATGTTTGATTCTGTAGAATTGTGAAATTGATTTATATATATATATATATAAAATTCTTCTTTTTTCGTATTGAATTTGGATTGTTTGATTTTTGGGAATTTGCAGAAGGAAGACATGGCTAAGGACTCGTACGAGGATGCCATTGCCGGACTTTCGAAGCTCCTGAGGTACTTTAACGACTTTCAAATTACAATAACGGTCTTCTTCTCTCCGTTCTTTCCTCGTCCTGACAAAACGAAACCACCATCTGTTGTTACGTCCTTTGCTGTAATTAGCCACAAATAGCTGTCCTTTCTCTGTCATTTTTCCCATTTCCTTTTCCATCACGACGCCTTAAGCCTATCAGGCTGTTGCTGTTGCTGCCACGTGGGGGCCCTTCCGGAATGGCATTGGATCAGCCGTCTGTCACCGCGGGCCCCCTTTGACTTGGCTTTTGTTAACAACTTCGGTTTGATAACTGCAGTGAGAAAGCTGACCTCGAAGGCGTCGCCGCCGCAAAGATCAAGCAGATAACGGCCGAGTTGGAGTCGGACGAGCTGGACCCGGTCGAGAAGATCAGAACCGGTTTCCTCCATTTCAAGAAAGAGAAATTTGAGTAAGTTCCAAAATTATCCCAAAAAAAATTATAATTATTCTGTTCTTCGAATATGCTGTTCGCTTAATTCCCCTCTTTTTCCCTGATCCAAATCGATTTACCCAAACTACCCATCTGGTTTTAGGAAAGATGCTGATTTATACGGCAAACTTGCCACAGGCCAAAGCCCCAAGGTCAGTGACGAACAAATAATATTATATTAGTTAAGTATCGTTAAGCTAATTTATTAACCTGTAACTTGATTGTTGTCTTTGCAGTTCATGGTTTTTGCATGCTCAGACTCCCGAGTTTGCCCCTCGCATATCCTCAATTTTCAACCAGGCGAGGCCTTTGTGGTCAGAAACATCGCAAACATGGTCCCTCCATTTGACCCGGTTCGCCTAACAAAACCCGATTAAATTAGTCTCCACTTGCATTGGATGATTGTTTCTTCTTGTATTTGTTCTGGTTGTTGGAAAAGCATTAACTTTCATAATTCATTACATGTTAATAATACATTTTCAAATGCAAGTAATGTTTCCAAACCCTCCAAGAAAATTGCGCATTATTTTTTATGGCCTCAACCCAAATGATGGAATCTTCTTTAAGATTATATAAAATGAAAAAATGGGTCCATCTTTTTATATATATATTTTTTATAAATACATATATTTAACAAACATTGAATAATAAATTATAAGTTTGGTTGTCTGTAATTGTATATGCGTATGTTGACTATTGGTTGCTGCAGAAAAAATACGCGGGAGTGGGGGCAGCCATTGAATATGCGGTATTGCATCTGAAGGTGAATATAATAGGAAGAGCCACTCTTTTTTTTTATTTTCCATATTCAACTCTACTTTTAGTTGTACTGATCTGACTGGAACCACTATATTCAACTTTTTTTCCTCTGGTTTTGTTCTTCTTCAAATTCAATAATGGTCGCCTAGTCATTGGTTTTGTGCCTTTCCTTACAACAAATAATCATGCTTCCTTGGTTTCTCTCACCCTCCGAAATAAAAGGGGCAGAAAGAAAAAGTCAAAAGTTGCAGATATAGAAAGGAGAAGAAATATTAATTGTTAATTAAGATTCGGAACATGAGGGTTTAAACTTGAGATCTCTGATAATTTATTTATTTATTTTAAGATTAGGAAACATGATTAAAAAAGGTAATATGAATTTCAGGTGGAGAATATCATTGTCATTGGACACAGCTGCTGTGGTGGGATCAAAGGGCTCATGTCAATCCCTGATGATGGGACCACTGCTAGGTAAACCAGCCTTCATTTCATTTATGAACACAGGAAGAAGAAGAAGTAGCTTAAAGCCTTAAAACACTTTGCATCTTTGTTAATTTGGTTCAAAAGTTGAAAAATCTAAGTACATATGCTTGAATTAAGAAGAATAATGAACCTTATTTGCAGTAAAGAGTTTAAAATGTTGGCCCAATTGGTTGTTTTCTTTCTCCTTCCCAAGTGGTGTTATTGCTAGTTGCTATAATTAGTGTATTATAATATTGATTTGTGTCATGTCCAACTCAATGGGAGGAGAATATGAAGGACTTTATTTTGGCAGTGGTACCATAATTTTTTGGAGGCATCCATAAAGTTGGATAAAGCAGAAGTTGAAGGACGAAGTGCTTATGAGTCATGCTCATGACAGCCTCAGATTCTCTTGTTTTTCAATTTTGCTTTGAGATTTGGTCCGACTTTAAGCGTACTTTTTAACACCGTTCCGAAATCTATCAATGTGGTACTGTCCGTGCAGTCGAAATCTCACTAGTGTTGTTTTAATTCCTTCTTTAATCATCATGCATACGCCGCTGCTGCACATATGGCACAAATTTTACTGCACTTTCTGATCCAGTAAATTATGCATTAACAGTGTTTCCATTTGTACATCCCTTGAAATTTCAGTGAATTCATAGAGGACTGGGTGAAAATCTGTTCGCCGGCTAAGAACAAGATCAAAACAGCATACAGTGGTTTAACTTTCAAAGAGCAGTGCACCAACTTGGAGAAGGTAATTTTTCATTTTTTTTCATTTGAGAAAATCAAAATCAAAACTGGAAACAGAGCTACCGAATTTGGCGAGCTTTATCCATCTTCTTGTTTGTGACCCTAATGCAGGAAGCTGTGAATGTGTCACTGGGAAACCTACTGACATATCCATTTGTGAGAGAAGGGGTGGTGAACAAGACACTAAGCCTGAACGGCGGATACTACGATTTCGTCAACGGTAGCTTCCAGCTTTGGGATCTTGAATTCAAAATTACACCCCATTTGTCTGTCTGAGCAGCAAACGTTGTCCAGAAGCCTTGGTATCATTTCCTATGTTCTGCATTTCCTTTGGAACAAGTTTTTGCAAAATAATAGCCTTTATGGCTTTGTGTCATAATGAAATCATGTAGTTTGGTCCATTTCTCTCTTTTTGTCGCCGTATGTAAAAATTCTCCTTTCTAGGCTTCAAACATTGTTAAAATTTTCTATACAGTGATTGTACTTTTAGGCAGTGCTTTATTCTGGTTTAAATTTTCATCTTACTACCTTTTTCTTTTTAATAATGGTGATTCTAAGAATCGCTTTCAGAAAAGAACTAACGGAAATGCTATAACGAGGAGTTGTGAGACGGGTTTTATCCCAAAGAATCAAAGCCACAAAATCAATTTGGGAAAGACAGCCCAAAACCAATACAAGCTGAAACCCAGCTTTACAATTCAATGTTGGGGTCTGTTTTGCGTATTGTTGTGGTGGCCAGAGGCCCAAAAAACTAGTAGATGCGGGTCAAGCTACAAGTCGTCCAAAGGTGACAATGTCGTTTTCAAACTTGTAGGGCACATGAAAATTTTGAACTCTGCCAAGGAAGGCACATTAAAAGTTGGAAGCAAACATGATGACATGTGGGTGTGTTGTGTGGACCGCCTAGAAGGAAGGAGCTGGCAAAACCAGTCCAAGCAGGACCTTTACGTTTGGGTCAGTGGCTCACTGTTCAAAAAACCAAAATCCACACCAAATAACATATAAATCCTATATTCTATTCTTGAAGTAGTACCAGATTTTGAGGACAGTTAGTGAGTTTTCAAGACTAAGCGCCACTAGTGTTTTTCTATATTATAAAGAATGGTTATGATATTAATATCATCGAGATTTTTTGTGATAAAATTTTATATTTATTGGGCTATATATGTGATTAAGTTTGGAATAATATCGGTATTACTAGTAGTGGACCGCTGATATATCTCTCTAAAATTGAACTATATATTATATATTATATAATTTATGAGTTTATAAACAATTATTAGTGACCATAAACGAAAATTTATTAACTCGACTCAAAATTTTGATACAAAAGGTCAAGAGGGTACCCTTGTAGAAATTCCACCATGCCCCAGCTAATCAAATTATGACCATTAGAACAAGAAAGCGAGTCTGCGCAATGCTCGGTCATCCATTGTATTTCTTCATTTGAATTTGAATTCTCAGCTGCAACAATATCATCCAACAATGGGTTTTGGTCATTTTGCAGAGCTTCCATGTCTTTGACACTGTTGCTGGTGCCGCAGCTGCAAGATTGCTTAGAATTTGAGTCCGGGGCTTTTGGAGTTTCAGAGGAGGAAGAAAGAGCTTTTGGAGTTTGCTTTTTGAAGCCAAGCTTCTTGCACAAATGACTGTTCCAGTAGTTCTTGACTTGGTTGTCAGTTCTTCCTGGTACACGCCCCGCAATCAGAGACCACCTGTACATGTTCATACAAAGTTACTTAAGTTTTGATCAGTGATTAATAATCCGATTTAATTATCAGCAGCATCCATATACATTAACAAACACGTTGATTATTTTTATATACATAAATATAATGCGATTCCATTTCCAAGTACCAATAGAAATAGTAAGACATGGGGATCAAAGTCACCCTGCACACATTACTATCACGGATCTACCCAATTTTTTTTAAATTAAGTCTTAATTAACAACACTCCAAAACATCCAAATGAGCATCTCAAAGAAATTAATCCTCCCTCCCCCCACAAGAAAAAAAATATGAAAAGTGAAAGATGGAGATAAATTTCAGAAAACCTGTTGCCAAGGAGATTATGAAGTCTGATGATGAGGTCCTCTTCTTCCTCAGAAAAATCTCCGCGTTTCACATTTGGGTTCAGATAGTTGATCCACCTCAATCTGCAGCTCTTTCCATTCCTCTTTAAACCTACATATATATATATATATATAATGAAGATGAAACAAATCAGACAAGTGCATAATGTAGATAAAGTCTTACCGGTGAGCTTAGGAATGCGATTCCAGCGGCCACTTCCATGTACGGTTACGTAGTCTAGCAGAACCCTATCCTCCTCCTTTGTCCACAGCCCTTTCTTGTACTCATTTTCTGCTTCCATTTTTGCCTCCCCCTCTACACACAAAGGGAGGACGACGGCGGCTTATAGCTAAGAGGGGAAAACCTTGTGGTGTATATATATATTTGTCAATATAATATACGCATTATATAATATATACAGTAGCTCAGCTGTATATATGGGTGTGAAAAGTTCAAGAGCAGCTCTTTCTTTGCTGTGCTTGGACTTGTATTGTATATCTTTAATTAATTTTGTTTGTCGGCAACGTAACCGGAGAGACCATTCATTTTCATGGATTTTTTTATTATTTAATTAATTAATATATAGCCTATTTGCGGTGACTCAGTGAGTGACCCATGCATGTTATAATTATGTTACATCTCAGGGACCAATAAAGACCCAGTTAGAAGGTTTATGTACAAACACCAATGTGGTGCTGCTTCTTCTTCCAATTTTCTAACTTCACCCGCACCACATCATGTTCTTGTTGACCTTTTAGGCCCCGTTTGATTCACGGAACGGATTTGATGGGAAATCATTTCCCAAGGGATGGAAAATTGTGATTTTTTTCCCATGTTTGGTAATGCCGGGAAAATAACCTGGAAATATTACTTTATTTCCTTTCCCATGTTTGTTTTGAGTAGGAATAGAAAGTTAATTTTGTTTAGTTTCCCAATTTTACCCATATTAAAAATATGTTATGAATTAAAAAATAAAAAAGGAATACCAATAATTGTTGGATAAAACTGTAATTATAAATTATTAGTAAGGACAAATTAGTCAGAAAAAAGTTGTATTTAATGCTAACCTTACTTTCCCATGAGAAGGGAAAGTAAAGCCAAGGATGGAGGATGGCTTCACTTTCCCCCCTACTTTCCCATGTACCAGGCAACGATTTCTCATCCCCAAGTTTCCTTTCTCATGAACCAAACGGGGCCTTAATGATATTGAAATCATGTTTGCTTGGATTTTCTAAGCCAGTAAAAAAATATATATATGTAACCTTGAATTTTATTATTGACTTATTCTGAATCACTCCCAACCGAGTCTTTCATCTCAAATCGCCATCTACTTCGGAGCTTAATTAAAAGGAGCTGGCAATTAGGACAAGGAGCTGGCACTTAGGACAAGAAGCAGGCAGGACAGTTTGCATGCAACGGTAGTGGAAGAAGGTAGCTACCCATAGTCATAGACTCATAGTGAAATGGTACTAGATAGAGTTATTGTGAAATCTGTGCCCCAATAAGAGATTTTTAGTAAAAAGTCCCCACCACATGCCATTTCCCCACAGAGCGCAGCTCCTGTTACTTTCTCCCAACGGTAATCAGATGAGATGAGACTCTTTTGACCTATAATAATTTCCCATGCATGCATTGCACATCTTCTTTTTCTGGTCACCGTAAAAAGATCCACCAATAATGTCTGATTGATAGCTTCTTCTTATCTCTTGGTTACTGTGGCATGTTTTCCATGGACAAAGGCTTAATTATTGAGTTCCTTCTCCACTTCTTACGACAATTCCATGATTGTACTAACCCCTGCCTGTCAATCTTCTAAGGCAATTACATATTTCACCCGGCATTATTTTTCATACATTCCATTGCCTTCTTTTCATTGTCGATATTATTAAATATTGTCAATCTTTGTTAAAGACAAATTACAAAATTATTATCGGTATCAATCAATCTTTTTCCTTCCGAGACTCACGTGTTTAACAGTCTACCATCCATGCTAAGCTTTATTAACTCAACCTGGAAAGAGAGGAGAGCCCTAGCTAGGCCAAAAATGTCAGAGTCATAGCTCAATCAGCACACATTTAGCTTACCACATCTCGTTTGGTAACAATCAGAGCCAAGTTTCTTTCCTTGGAAATCGACTGGAGATACGTAGGAGGAGGAGAGTGTGTGTGAAGTCATGGTCAGGGAATTAAATATTATACCTAAATGCTGTACACGTAGAGTAAATGTTGCTATAACAAGTAGGTGCAATATATCCCTACCCTACCCCCTTCATATTCACTGTACAATATTTACGCTCTGATGTCCTCAAGATGGAATAGCTGTAAAACATGCATGATGCAGTGAGTGACTGAGGCTTTTGAAAAAGGAAAAGTAAATTTATAATCTGGTAAATTGGGAGGACAGCAGCTTTGATTTTTGAGGGTTTCTTTTCAGGGATATTATACTACAAACCAAACTACTGTGTAGCTGTGTGTGGAATAATTTATAACTGTTTCAGAGGCTTTCAATATCTAGTTTGATTTTTGTATCCCCTTGAATGAATGCTCGTGGTACAACATGCCTTCAAGGCTAAAACGCGTATCATTTTACTCGTTTGGCTTATAAATTTTACCCTTTTTTAACGTTAAAGAGAAAACAAAAGAGTATAGCTCAAATGATTGAGAACATTCCGTTTTACATTCCAGGCTCTATCCGACATTGAAATCGTAAGATGAAAGCCTATCACAAGAGCTTAAAAAATCTTAGACCTTGCCATCCCTGACTAAAATTGTCTCGAACTCTCCCCTCCTCCATAAATCACAAAATTTAAGCCAATGATCAACTTCTTTGCCCCTTCTCTGGGCCAGTAATAGGATTAGCAGCCCAATTAACCTGGCCCAGAGTTTCAAAAAAAAAAACTTAGGCCGTTTGAACTGGGCTTGTGTTCCAGACCTGTCTAGGGCCCAAAAGTTTAATGGCTTGGGTTCAGACTCGTTAAATTGCTGAACATACACACCACACCACCTTTTTTTCCTAATACACTCTATCCCACAATACCAAACCCATTCGAAAGCTAACTGCAGTTGTTTTAGAAAAGGAATGACCACACTGACGAACTCTGCAATGCCCGGAAAGTCGAATCCCTCAATCATTTATCCAAGGATGCTAGTTAGAAGGACTTATGTCACCCATTGCATTCGTATCAATAATGTATGATTAAGAGTCCTGAGACTAAAAATCATAGTGAAGCAGTGCGATAAGAAGCTGCTTCATCTTCCAATATATTGGGTAGTTGAATTCCCAGATTCCTATTCACCCATTGCAATTCCTCTCAATAATATTCGGTTAATTGAAAATCATAGCATGTATTTGGTGATCAGCAGTTTTGATCTCCAATGTGAAAATCATAAATGGGACATTATGGACAAGATACAAACAC